CAGAGGCTGAAGCCTCTTACTGGCATCAACCTGATCCTCTATCTGCTTCTTGTAGGTAGATGAGGAGGTCTTCAAGGCTCTCGTCTCGACCATCATCTTCTGAATTGTCTTGAAATCAGGCCTCAGAGGCATCTTCTTGTTGAAGTTACCTGCAAGAAAACAAGCAAATTATTACGAGTGTGAAGAGGTCGAAAAACCCACGCGACATGGCCACTTCTTAAATCTACCTTGGGAAGCTATCAGGTCGTGTGTTATGAAATGAATATTCTTCCTAATCAACTCATAGTATGACCTCTTCTTTGGGGGCAGCTGGCAGACGATGCAGATTATGTACACTGAGGAAGGGTATCTTCAAAAAGCAAACAAAGAGCAGTTACGATCCGAACCAAAGAAGAATGAACAAAAATGCAAACCAACAATACTCACTAAGAGTGGAATACTTCGTGGGGACCGTAAGAGGCGCCAGGTGGTCTCCCTCCATAGTGTCCCATCTTCCAGCAGCCTAGCACCACGAGTTCTTCCATTCTTTAATGGAGCTCGACAGATCGAGCACGAATGGAGAATGGGAACCCCATGAAGTCAAATAACGCCACCCCCTAGTCTTGTCCCCTTCAGCTGGATCGGGGCTAACCCATACGACCTCAGCACTAGCCTAAAGAAAGGATGGAGGGGTAGCCTAAGTCCAGCCCTAAAAAGTGCCTCATTCACGGCCACACACCCCTGCCTAGGATAACAGGCCTTCTCATCAGGCTCCGGTAATATCAGTTTTACACTATCAGGTATCCTATATTTAGCCCAAAGTCTACCCAGATCGGCCTCCTTCAATTTCGACAGGTAATCTGAAGTCCCCCAATATTTTAATGTATCTACCGGGCTGTCAGGCCTTCTCCAAATATTTTCCCCCCAATATCGCCTCAGCAACCTCGCTGGGCATCGCCAAAATAGGCTCATCCACCCTCACCATCTCTAAATCCCTTCTCGAAGCTCCACTACCATCCGATGCCATTGCAGAATGGAGAAATGAGAAAAAACTTGGGAAAATACTTACTGAAACTCAAGAAACTGGGGGACCTACGGTCGGAAAAGATCAACACACAATGTGATATCGTCGAAAACTAGAAATGTCGCTGGAAAATGCTTGTACAACGTCGAAAAACGCAAGAATCTTGAGAGGAAATGGATTTTCTGATTTCGTAAAAGTGAAAAATTCCTAAAATGCTCAAGTCCACCTTTTATAGAGCGTCCCAGTTGATCTCTACCATTGAATTCAAATGTAATCAATTTAGGCCGTCCATCACATCATAAATCTGAGCCGTTGATATGAAACGTTATATTTGATCTACGCCCAAGATCTAGCTGTGACCCTCATGCTTGCATAAAACGCGTCACCTCGATAACCATCAACCATCTACAATAAGTAGTTGCAGCAGCCTTTTCTGGGAATAGGCATCGACTGAACTGTCGCCTTGGAAATACGCGACAGCTGTCAAATCATTTGACATCAGAAATGTTCGTCTAAAATCGAAATCCTCAGCTTTACAAAGCTTAGACGCACCTGACGCAAAGTCCCTTGTAGGTCATCGCCTCGATAGCTACATTTCCTTCTAAGCTTTACAAAGCTTTAGCCATCTCCCAACGCGTCGTTTGTTGTGCGTTAGCGCATCGGTGGTAGATGAGCTCCTCACTCAGTTTTACAAAGCTTAGACGCACCTGACGCAGAATCTCCTGTGGGTCATTGCCTCGGTAGCTGCGTTTCCTCCTAAACTTTACAAAACTTTAGCCATCTCCCGCATCGATCGTAGATGAGCTCCTCACTCAGTTGTACAAAGTTTAGACGCACCTGACGCAAAATTTCCTGTGGATCATCGCCTCGGTGGCTGCGTTCCCTCCTAAGCTTTATAAAGCTTTAGCCACCTCCCAACGCGTCGTCTCCTGTGGGTCAGGGCACCGGTGACAAATGAGCTCCCCACTTAGCTTACAACGCTTACACGCTTCTGATGCGGAGTTCCCTGTGTGTCATCCTCTCGGTGGATGCGTTCCCTCCTAAGCTTATAAAGCTTTCGTCGTCTCTCAACACGTCGTCCCTGTGGGTCAGCTCATCGATGGCGAATGAGCTCATTCCTTAGGCAGCACTGAAGCTCTAGCGTCAGTCGAAGATATGTCCTGGTCCTAAGCTTCACAAGGCTTTGGCCTTTCCCCAACGCACCGTCCCCTAGGGCCAACGCCTCGGGAGAAGATGAGCACCTACCCACATCTCTTCCGGGAACACAAAAAACCAATCTGCAAGCTTTCGGGCCATTTACATACTTCGCCCTTCCACGCCAGTTCTCTATCACAAACCAAGGCAAGCATACTTGATCGGGAAAACAAGTCCACTCATGATATAAATATTCATGCTTGAACTTGGGGGGACCACCGTTACGCCCCAAGCTGAACCACTTCAGAAAGTCTACCACTGCATCATACGAGGTGTCCACCACCAATTCGAAGTGGTTCTGAAGTGACTCCACCACCAATGTCTGCGCACCGCTAACGCGCTGCGAGACACAAAACAATTCCACTGAACCGACCGAAGTGTCCTTGACGTCAAAGCACAATGCACTCCGAGGTTCTCCTTCAGCGGATCCACCGCCACTTTCAGAAAGAGATTTGTGTCAAGATCCTCTCTGCCCCCAAGGCTTAATTAATTTGACGTCTCCACGAGTTTAATTGATGTAACGTATCAGCTTTATGTCAACTCAACTCAAAAGAAGTTATTACCCACCCACTCCATAGACGCGGCTGATTGACGCCTATGGGCAGACGCCTCACACCGTTAGATGCATACACGTGTCTCACATCCAATGGTTCTACTCACCTATAAATACACAAGGTTTGACAAGAGACAAAGGTAATGAAACTTTTACAACTTAGCTCTCCATAACAAGAAAATATATACTCTCCTTCACACTCTCTTGCACCGGATACTAATTTGACCGTTATAGTGTATACGGTCGCTACCACCCCCGCTGGTTTCGACTGTGTGTGTATGACTGTGCGTTAATTGTGCACAGGGAGGATTATGTGGAGTAGCTATCGGTTGGCCACGTGGGAGGTTCAATTCGCGAGGTCAACAATTGCTACTTTGTTCTTACTTGGTCCAATTTTTTTGGGAAGGACAACTTCACGGGACGCACATGACTTTACCCTATGCAGTTTGATCAGCAAACCATAAATAATTTTCATTCAAGTGTTGCTCTTATGGGAGTTTGTACTATTCTTGATGTTTGGCATGCAAGATTGAGTCACCCCTTCTCGCATATCACCAAGAGTGTCATCAAGTCCTTTAATTTGCCTGATTCGGGCTCCTTGAATTTTATTTCTGTTTGTCAGTCTTATTTAATGGGAAAAGCCAAGCAATTACCGTTTGGTGATTCTTGAGTGTAATGTTGCCTCCTTTAAATCTTATTTATTTAGATGTTTTGGGTCTCACCTGTTGTATCTAATGATGGTCATCGATATTGTATACTCTTCATAGATATATATGACTAATCTCGTTTTATATGGGTGTACCCTATTCATAATAAATTCGATGTTTTTCTTGATTTGTGCAATTTAAATCTTTGCCTGAAAATCACTTCTTAAGCAATCAATACCAGATCAAGATCAAGCTGTCACAAATCATATTCCAACTCCCAATGATTTGGTTTCCATTGAATAGCAATGCCAAAGATAATTTGTGACAGCTTGATCTTGATCCGTTATTAGTTACTTAAAAAAAGGAAGGCAAAGAGATTAAATATATTACTTCTAGATACTTTATATTAAAAAATTTAAATTGTCAAAGACTGATTTTTTTATTTATCTATATTTTCTTGTACGTTGAACCTATTCAATAAAGTCTTGGTAACATTTCTTTAGAATGAAATTGGTCAAAAGCCAGAGTGGATCTAGAAAATATGTTGTGTAATTTTCGTAGTCAAATTTGCAGGGTTTCTAAGGTCAAGTGTGAATTAATTGACTATCCTACATGCTTAAATCGTTAGAGCTTCTGAATAATGAAACCGTTTTATCTAGTAATTACCAAAAATGAGTACCTTTATTTTATTTTATTTTATTTTTATTTTTATTTATTTTTCTCAGTTGTAGGAACTCATGTAGAAATGAATCATGTAATGGATATTGTAACGCTTACAAATAATGTGGACACTAACAGAAATAATTTGATAGTATCACCAACGAACTAGCGAACGAACCACATAAAAAAACGAATGAGATTTTATTCATAAACATTTTAAATAATATAAAATTTCCATATCCATAACTTTTTGTTATATACAGATTCTCAAGGCGTTCACATAATACAAAATATTCAGATATTCTTTTATGTAGTTCAGCTTCTATTCTTGCCGCCCTCTTGGAAAATTTGGTAGCAGGTTTATAGGACTCCAATATTCTGTACAAAAGCATAATTTAAGGGTGCGTGACAAAAGTTTTCTAGAGGAAAAATTCTAGAAATTTATAGTGTAAATGCACAATTGTAGACGTCTTATACGTAAACATCTTTTATCATTTTATCAAAATTTATTAAAAATTTGATTTTTAGCTACGAGTTAAAATTCCTAGCTTGATCCCTCTTCTTATTTACCATTTTCCTTAAAAGTGGTTTATGTTTAATCATTTTTGATCGCTTGACCTGACAGATGGTTAAACTTAAAAATTTTGAAAACTTAAGCGACAAATAATTATATTATCATATTACTTTTTTCGTTAATCAAACAAAGTGAATGAATTTCAATAACAACTTTAAAAAATAAAAAATAATAAAAATCCAACAATCAAATCTTAAATGACTATTAAACATGGCCATCACCATTTTATTAGTTTGACCATTTCCGTCGAAAGGTCAAGAAACACATTAGAGTTATTCTAACATGGATAATCCCATTCGAAGTTTCCATTGATGAACTCACTAATGACATAGATAAATACCTTCTTCCACAAGTTTATTCCTTCTACATGATCATCGTCTAATATCATTTTTCGCCATTATATACTAATAGAAAAGACCTTTTTTCTTGTTACTATCACTTTAATCTGCAAGAAAATTTTGATAAATTTGGCATGGATTTGATCCAAACGGTGCTGCAAATCATCCCGGAGATGAACTACTGGTTGGCGGAGCATCCGGCAGTTGTGCATTTCCGGTGGAGTCCAACTGAGTCATGGGGTTCAACTTGGTTTTTTCTCATCGCCTCAATCTCCGCCTACATTGCCATCTCCACGACCCTTCACGTCCTCCTCCTCCTGCTCCGTCGCCAGAAACCTGTCCCTCTAGGCCCTATTCCGGCACTTCACAGCCTGGCCATGGCTCTCATCTCCGCCACCATCTTCACCGGAATGCTCTCCTCCTCCGTGGCAGAAATCCGCGACACAAGGTGGTTCTGGCAGCGCTCGAAAACCCCATTTCAGTGGCTCCTCTGCTTCCCACTAGGAACCCGCCCCTCTGGCCGAGTGTTCTTCTGGTCATACATTTTCTACCTCTCCCGGTTCCTCCATATCATCAAAACTTTCTTCACCATTTTACGACGCCGGAAATTCCCATTTCTTCAAGTCTTTAACCATTCCATCCTCATCTTAATGTCATTTCTCTGGCTTGAATTCTCACAATCTTTTCAAGTTTTAACCATTCTTTCAATGACCCTCGTATTTTCATTAGTCTATGGCTATAGATTTTTCACCGAAATTGGATTCAATGAAAAATCCCATTTCCCATTTGTAATGTTCTGTCAGATTATCCTGCTTGTTACAAACTTGGCATGGCATATTGGGGTTCTTGTTTTGCATTTTTGGAAAGGTGGATGCAATGGGATGGGAGCATGGGTTTTCAACACAGTTCTTAACAGTTTCGTCCTAATGTTTTTCTTCCATTTCTATGTGAAAAAGTCCGTGAACGAGAAAGACTTTAGTTCTGAGGTTGAAGCCAACGCCATAACTTCAGATATAAGAAATAAACTGGTGAGTTCTAATTGATTATGAGGAGAAATTTTATTCCAAAAAAAATTGTATCATTTTATTAGTTAATTAATTTTCTTTCTTTGGTTACTTGTGTAAGTGTAATTGTAAGCTGTGCTTTCAACATATGTTGGGACACTGTATTTTTTGTTGTACAAAATTTTTGTTGCTCTACCACTTGTCTAGCATGTAAATAATTTCCTTCATTTTAACTTCAAACTTAATTTTAATACCAATTTTTTCCTAAACAGGATGTAAAAATAAGTGAATGGTATATGTAAATGGCTCAATACTGTATAGGTCTGATCCAATGTGAATGACACATCATCAGGAATAGCTGATTTCAACATGTCTACTACGGTCGGACTTTTGAGTTTGCTTCAAGCCGAAGGAAGGAACCAACCAATCGAATCTTGTTTGAAGAAATCACGTGGCCCGATCATATGGCCATACAAACTACTAGAGATGTTTAATTGTGGCATCCTTAAGGATACTATTCTTTGTGGCATTGAAGCCAATCCAACGGACAATATGAATCGGTGAACACTTGGTCCCAGGTTAGTAGGATTGTCTTGATTTCCTCGTCGAAAGAAACATGAGCCAAACTCCTTTAATGCTCCTAAAAAGAGGAATCACCTTTGCACTTTGGACTATTCTAATTTTGATGTAAAAGTTTAAACTATCAGAATGAGCCAACAACTTATAGATAGCGATCATGATCTATATGTGTAGTGAGAAAATTTGGGATCTTTTGTAGTGATTCGAGTTGGAGAGTTTGTTCTCTTTTATATCATCCCCTATTATGTATGGAGAATTCAAGATTTGAGTGTGTGGTACTATTTTGTATCATCTCCCATTATGCAGAGAAGTTCATCTGTCTGAGCATATAGGCCAAATGTCAAACCATGTTCCTTATCACGTTCTTGTCGTTTGGTGTTTTGCTCAAGAACTTGATCTGCTGACTTCTACACAAGAAATACAAACACGAGGTCAAAACATGTGCAAAATTATAGAAATATGTGTGGATGGGTTGCAACATTGTTGTCTAGAGCCGCCTTGTTTGTCCCATTATGTACTTGTCAATTTTAGTCTTCATTCATAAAATTTAATCAAATTTAAATACAAGAAACATTTGATTGGGAATAGAAGCTTCCAATAGTCATTATTTGTGCATAAATTTAAGAGCATACTTTTCTAGAATCTGACTTTTGGACCATATATATAATTAGTTTTTTGCTCAATTTTTTAAATTAACCAAATTTTAATAGCAAAAGTAAAACATGGCAGCAACTGAAATTTCTAGAAATGGTTTTTGTTTGACTTGAAATGTCTCATTTACTTTGTAGATTTAAGGAGCATCGGTGCTTATCTTATGATAAGCATCATTGATGTGTCATATAAATTCATTAGTGAAAATTTTAAACTTACTTCAAATGCTGCGATTCATCATAAATTTTTCCTCCAATGGAATTATATGATACGTTACTAGTGCATAACATAAGATAAAAAACACTAATGCTCATTAGATTATTCCTGTAAATATATTTACACAAAATATATTTCGTGCTTACGGATCATAATTCCAAAATTACAATTTTCATAAGATGATTAAAAATGATTAATATAGGTAAACAAACTTGACATAATGACAAAAATACCCGACCTACATTTTTTTTGCTTAATATTTATGAAGAAACGGCGAGAAAACCGGACTATTTTTTATTATAACATATCTGTGCACCATAAATATGACTAATATACCATCCATTCATGAAAATTAAAACCTAATATTCCTCAAAATTACTGCAAAATGTCTTTTATATATATGAAAAAAATAGAGTTAGAATTTAGGGCACGTTTGATGTAGATTTATTTTAGAATCGTTTTTATGAAAAGTGATATTTTTGAATAGAATATTATTACGAGGAAATTACTTGAAATGTCCACTTTCACAAATCCTTGCAAAAATGTCCATTTTGAAATAATTTGGACCAAAATACCCTTGTGAACAATTTGTGATTCCATAAAAAGACAAGAAATGGACATTTTTACAAAAATTTTATCGACCAATAAATTTTTGACACATAACATGCCATATTTATTTCAAAAGTGCACATGCAAATCACTATTAATACTATTTTTCTCTTTGACCCAAAAACATCGAGAACTACATTTCAAGTGTAGAAAAATGTCATGTTCGAAATGAAATGTCATTCTAGATATTTAAAATGTCGAGAACAACGTTGAAAATATCGAGAACATTTAATATTGTAATTTGAAATGTGTACTTTTAAAATATAAACGAGATTCAAATATCAAGAATGACATTTGAAATGTCGATAACATTATTTTAATGTAGTTTTTCATGGATGCTACTTCTTGAAATTCGCAACAAATTGAAATAAATAAATAAATTGCTTCTTTTTTTCATTAAAGGCATAATAGACAGTTTAGTACTAAATTTAAAAAGTGAACATTTTTCAATTAACACCCATGAAATGAGACATTTTTTAAAATACCCCTGTTATTATTTGCAGTTGCTCACTACCGCAATCATCCTACGTGGCATACATGGGCGGTTAATGATTTGTTGCATTAGGAAATAAAAAAACTACCACATTAATGTATCAAATCACTAACCTACCATATATAAGCGATTGTAAATAACATTACTCTTTTGAACAATCCGTGATTGAAAAGTTAAAAAAATTATAGATCCATGTATAAATTTATTTTATTGGAAGATTGTATGGTTGAAAATAAGATTATAAAAATTTTTTTTTTTAAAAGTTTATAAACTAGAGAAAAAGAGAGAACAAAAGAGGAGCAAATAAAACTATGTTTTATTAATAACCAAAACCACATATTTATATGGAAGAATTAGGGTTATAAAAAATACAATAATCTTAACGACTATGCCTGCAGGGGTATTAAAGTCATCATAAATACTAATATATTTATAACACTCCCCTTGAATAACTATTTATACAATAATTATCTCATTAAATATTATTTGGCAAAAATCCAATTAGACAAAAATGCCAACAAATAAAAAAGAGAGCAAATAATTTGGAGTAATAAAATGCTGTCTCGTTAAAATTTTGTCAAAAGAATTCCGTGGGACAAAATTTGATTGAAGAAAAAAAGAGTACAGTTGCTTCCCCGATTTCAATTCTTTTATCATTCATCATTATCTTATATGCCAATATCTTCAAAATTGCAATTCAGTGAAGCACATTTCATGTTGTCTTGTTATAACCTTCAACTAGCACCGTTTTCGTATGAGATATTTATTAACCTTTGATGACTGTGGTAACATGAAGATTCAAAAAATAGCTCTTGTTGATCTCTTCAGGAGTCTCATACATATCAGAGCATTAATTTGAGGGTAAATGTCTTGGATATTTTGGATATTCATTACACAAAGATTATGCCTCATTAAAACCTTATTAGAAAAAATTCCATGGGAAAAATTCTAATAAAGGAAAAATATTACATTATTTTTTTTGAATATGCCAGTAATATTATCTAATTAAAAACCTCGCTAGGAAAATCCAATGAAACAAAACATTGGTTGAGGAAAAAGAGTACAATGCATATTTACTCTCCATTGTGATAATATCACTTGAATTACGCTTCACCCATATTAAATCCTTCCAAAATAGTATTAAATTTATACAAGATAAGTTTACTGTAATCACATTTATTTTATAAATATATCGAATTTCATGCATTGTTATGCTAACAAGGTATAGAATTGTTATTGTATCCACCACATTATAACTTATTTATTTATATAAGTTTTCGTGAAATTCATTATATAAAGAGTCGTACATTTCATATTACGACATTCATTTTTTCATTTCCTTTTTGAATAAGTATATAGCTTTATATTTTCGGACTGTAGGTCCAAAAACTTCAAATTTCTATAGTAAATTCAATTTAGAATTGTGTACATTTTATTTGGTCAATCATCAAGAGTATATGACTCCATAATGGATCATCTTTACTAATTGCTCCATGATAAGTGTGCTTTTGCGCACTTATTTAATACCAAATTAACCTTAATTATTGATTAAAAGAGTAAATTTCACAATTATGTAATTATTACTTTGTAGTAAAAATAACCCAAAAAAATAGATCAAGGCAAAAACAAGGGGAAAATGACCAAAATTAGGCAAAATTGTGAATTTGAGGATCAAAGTGAGCAAGTCAAAAAGTTGGATGACCTAGGATGCTATTTATTGGGGCATAATTAATATTACAGTCAAAATTTAAAGACCAAGTCATACAAGATCAAAGTTGAGAGACCTGACATGCAATTATCATGGGGATTTAGCTGCAAAATAAAACCAAATTCAATTTTTTGTTGTGAATTGGCGCGTGGCACCACTGTAGCAGCGCCTAGGTGCTTGGTTCAAAATCCTGAGAATCGTTTGTATTCTCTTTCAAAATTCAAGGACTAGAGTACAATTTTTCTAGGTTTTAATTTTAAAACCAGCAAAAAGGAGTTGGGTCTTCATTTTTTCTACCAGCCTTTTCCTCATTTTTTTTTTTTTTTTTGCTTTCTTCTTTTCTTCTTCCTTCAATTTATTTTGGCATTTTGGAGCAAATCAAGAGCATAATAAGAAGAATAAATCAAAGAAAGGGCAAAGAAGAATTGATGAACTCAAGATTCGAGCAAAAAGTCCAATGAAAAATTTTTATCTTTAATATTGTATTTTCTTTATTATTTTATATTATTTGTGATGCATTGGATAAATATTCTCCTTTGTTATCATGTATATGATATGAGCTAATTTCTTGTGTTGGGATTTATAGTAGCAGTTTGACCTAACTTTGATTAATTTTAATATTTGTTGTTTAATGCTAAAATGCTTATTTTCATGTGTATTTAATATTATGTTCAATGCCCTTCATTAATTTGTCTATTAAATGATTGAGTTTAGTGATTCGTACATCGTTTGAGAGAAGATTGTACATTTTAGATCAAATAGTAACTACCCTAGATATATCCCTAATCTTAGGTGACTCATTGAGCTATTTTCACAAAACATTAATTCGATTACTTGGTTTTAATCGACATAGAGATATAATATGATAAACCAATCAATTAGGGTTAAGTTTGGTCGAAAGAGGCAATTACATAAAATTGAAAGTTTGGGTGTAATATCGTAAATGAGTAATATGTTATTTAGCTTGTGAAAAAATTAATTAGCCAATGGCTAAGCGGAACCATGAATTCCAACCACGTTTTTCTCAAAAATTTTATATTTTCTTATTTTGTGGATTTTTAAAGTTATTTTTCAAAATCAAAATCTTAATCATGTGTTTGCTTTCATTGTTAGAATTAAATCAATTAAAGTTGTATAATCGAAAGTATACATTCTTTAAGTGATCGACAACTAGGACTCAAAAAGTCCACTTTATAATTTGAACGCGACCCGTGCGCTTATGGTTTGTACTTTTATAGCGAACAAATTTTTGGTGCCGTTGCCGAAGAATGTTTTTACTTTATTTATCACTTTAGTTAATTTTAGCTTTAACAATTTCTTTTTATCTATTTTAGGTGCTTTTATTTTTGTAAATGTTGGCTAACCCCCGTAATATTAATTTATCTTAATTTGGTATTCACTCATTCTACCTTTCAGCTATATTTGTATCATTCACATCTTGGTAAAATAACAACGTTTTTGCAATGTCTAATATCTACATTGGCTGTGAATTTATGCTTAGAGGTCCAAGATGTGAAATTTAAGCTATATATTGTGTATTCGTGGATCGATACCTCAATATCAAATCTTCTTTGATAATGCCAATATTTGAAATGTAGAAAACTAGCAATAGACAATTTCAATGATAGTTGCATGCTCACAGGAGATTACGTACTTGACGATTAGGACGAGGACATCAACTTTTTGGGAAATGGTCCTTTATTAAATGAAAGGGTAGTTGCAAAGTATTATAAGGAATGTGTCAAGTTAGATGAAGAAGACATGATTATGGGAGATTATAAATATAGGGATGGATTTCAAATATGAGGGTATAATCTACTCGACAGAGTTAATAGAAAAAAGACTTGCTATTGCCCGTGAAGTTTGATTGCGGACCAATCATTCA